TATAGTCACAGCAGTGAAATTAGAAACACTTTTTTGAAAATCGTCGCGGCAGCGGCGCGGTGGCGGCACGTTTATTTTATAATTCATCGCGGCAGCGGCGCGGCAGCGTTTCTGTTATAAGTCATCGCGGTGCGGCAGCGTCGCGGCAACATTTTTTTATAAACCGCCGCGGCGCGGCAGCGGTGCGGCAGCTTTTTTTTTCTAAGGCCGCGGCGCGGCAGCGGCAGATTTTCAGCCGCGATGGACATCTCTGGCTTACATATATATCTCCACCATATTTTGACCAAACGGGCTGATATCTTTACCACTGATAGAGGAGTGTGCATAGTTCATATTCATAAAGGACACGTTGTCAAAAATTGTTTAGAAATAGTACAACTAACTTCAACAAAAAACTGAGATCTTTCGTGAGTTATAAGAAAAATGATACTGCAGTTTTCTCAATAGATGGAACTTGCAGGATACATTTAGTAACGAGACATGTATCTGTCAGTTAACTATGAAAGCAAATGATGCTAGTGCAAGGTAGTCAAAAAAAAATAGATGTCATTTATTCTTAGCTAAGAAAATAAATATATTCTTTTTTTCATAACTCGAACTATGTTACAGTTTTTTGTTGAAGTTAGTTGTGCCACTTCTAAACAATTTTTGACAACGTTTCCTTTATAAATAAGAACTATGCACACTTCTCTATCAGTGATAAAAATATCAGCTCGTTTGGTCAAAATATGGTGGAGATATGTATGTAAGCTATTCTTTGTGGAGTTACTTTCTGGACACCCTATATATATTTATTTGTTCAATAGACCATTAAATACTATAGATTTTCTACAGTAAATATTTATCATTATCAGAAGTTTGATAGCGACTTTAATTTATTTATTCTATTATTAGGAATAAAATGACAATAATGCATTGTTAGACGGCAATGTTGAGTGACATTTTTATTTTATGAATGCATCCTATTGATATTCATATGCAAAGTGATAATAATCAACATCAGTTTTCTGAGAACTATGAGAAATTCAAAAATTATTAGTCATTCGATTTATGAACATACAAATAATTTCGAGCTGTATATAGCTCAGAGCTACTTGTGCTCGGCTTGTAATCGATGGTTGTGTGTTCAAATCTTGGTTCAAACTATTGTTGGAAAAATTCCCACTCTGTTGCTCACATTATTAGAGTGTTATATCATAGTTCCCTATGGTGCGTCGGTTCGAATCCGACACAGAGTGATGGCTACTTTTTAATTTTTTGAGAATAAAGTAAACTGATCCAGACGCGCTCAGTTTTCTGAACGCGTTCTCACTCTTGAAAATGTTGCAGATTGGATGCGTACAAACGCGTCAAGCGCTCTTGCGTTAAATGCTCAAAAACGCGTTGGAAACTTAAAAATGGTTACATGGCCCATCTCTGAATATCAACTTGTTTGATTCATTGATTCTCAAAATAACCAAATAAAGCTTTAACAAAACTAAATTTTGCCGGTGATGATTCAAAAATTGAGTCATAAACATCATTAAATGCTTGTAGTACTAATGACATAGGCATTAACGCGAGATGCATAAGTTTCCGACAAGTATTTCGAATTTCATCAACAGCAGCATATTCACATTATATAGGCCAAAACGTTAAATACTATGATAGATTGCCTGTGTGTAATGGAAAAAAATATCCCAAATAATGATAATTAAAACACTAGAACACTAGAGCACAACAGGGTTTGTTCAAATTGAAATAAAATAACACGTACTTCACTTTAATCAACCTATGCTAAAGCACCCTTAAAATCTGACATGATGCTACCCGGATTGAAAATCATATTTAATTGAATAACTTTGGTGTTTAATTCGTGGAATCAGAATTCATACGTAAATTTTCTTTTCATCAAATATTAGAGCAAACAAGCAAACGAACACTATCCATTATAAGAGTTTTAAAAAGTTTGTTGAGAAACTAAATTTATATGTATATTGTTCATATTTTATTGCATATCTGCAATGGATTCGACTGAACATTGAAAGTGATAATGAAAAAGTGTACCATCCATTCACATGACAAAACTATTGAATAATAACTTTAACTGATTATTTAAATTAAACATCAACATTCGCGTTCTTCTCTCTATTACCTGATCAATGCATAGGAAAGATAGATTTATCAAAGTTTCTGTATAAGATTCTGGAATATAGAATAACTGACAATCAGGAATAGCTGCAGATGTATCTAGACGACGTGGGTTCTTTAATGAGACAGCCTAAAAAAATATTCTTTAGGTAAAACAAGATCATGGTTTTACTAACCAATTTCTCTGAGATGGTGTTTAAACAGCAATTGATAATGTTGATAGATCTTTTCTTCCTGCTTCTTCATCACAGATTTGCGGGATAGGTGTACATTCATTTATAGCATGTGTTTGTACAGCTTGTACGAATGTTCGAATAAGTATTTCTTCTGTTTCAGATGAATGACAATGATCATCTTTGATATCCAAGACAACATTATCCAGATCAATATGTATAATTACAGTACAATGTGATCGAATTGTCTATATCCAACTTTCTGTTCCATTTTTGAGACATAAAAGAATGAAATTATATCAGAAGGAGTAGTCATTATATCTCAAACAACACAAAATGAATTAGTACATCGTCGTCTGAAGAACGATTACATTGAGCGCCACAACTCAATCAGAAGGAACTGTTCTAACCATTCCCTCACAGCGATCTCTTGTCACTATTCATTTCCCTTTCATATTTTTTCTTCATACATTTCCCAGTGAAAAATGTTGGTGATTTTCAATCGGATTTTTCTGCAACAAAATCAAAATTAAAATGGATTGATAATTTTGATTATTGTTGATCATGACTTAACTGTTACTCGATCCCGTTCTTATTCAGCATGAAATTTTCTGGTCAAAATCGGATTATTTTGGAGCAAAATCAAGATTATCAATCGATTGATAATCTTGATTGGCTACAGATTTGTCCGATTTCAATCAGAAAATTTCGAACAGAGTAAGTAACAACACCGAGTGGTAGTTAAGTCATGGTCAACAATAATCAAAATTATCAATCAATTTTAATTTTGATTTTGTTGCAGAAAAATCCGATTGAAAATCACCAACATTTTTCACTGGGTTCTCCTTCTCTCCTTTCACTATCTATTCTTTCTACATTTTCTTTCTTCATTTTTCCCTCGAACATCTTGTTTCGAAAAACTCCTAGAAGGTACTTTTACTCACAAGTCAGTATCCCTTACGGATGTACCCTCAAAAAACAGAATCTCGCTATCATGCATCATAAGTAGTTCCACACACAAAAAACTTCTCAATGACGGCCACTACAAATGCACCGTTTCATCGTCAAACTACAAACAACACTCATAAAAACATCGTTTCCAGAATACTGCCGATAGAATCGCCAGGTATCATATATATGTAAAAATTTTTTCACCTATGCCTCAACGAAAAACAGAATCACATCGAATCAGTCATCAAGGCAACTTAACTGATTGCATGCGATATCTTCAAAATTGAATCCGATCGCACATATTGACACTTGCAATTGTATTTGAGAATAATAATTTTTTTTTCATCTTCACAATCTAGGACATAATCAAATGAAGGCTTTCTTACTCCTCTGGAACGTTGCCTTTCCAAAACCACCGCTGATACTCGGCATTGATATCCTGCCGACTAACAGGAACCACACTTTTCTACGTCATACGGTTGATATTTCGCAATCCTTTTATGAGTTTTCTCTGCCATTCAGCGATGTGACGAGATGGCTTACTTTCTTTGTTCAACCGATCTCGAATTATGACAATCAAATAGATCTATTTCTTTATTTCAGAAGATAAGATGAGTAAAATATATAGGAAAAAGAAGAAAAAAAAAGAATGAAAGTATCAATGTTCCGAAGTTCTCTTTTTAGCTGTCGACAATCTAGTTTAGTTAGACTAGCGTCTAAAGAAATTGAATCGTCGACCGTTGACTGGGAATGGTCCAAATGATTGACCAGGCAATGGTCGTGGATTCGCTTTATTGATGAAGCTGTTAAGTGCAAAATAGTCGAATCTGATTGTTCCACTGACAAAATCAGAATTGCCAATGAAATTCAAAATCAGAATATTAATGACTACTGTACTTGGAGTAGAGCTGCCAGTAACTTGAAAATTATAATTAGCAGTGCGAGCTTCAACTCGATTTCTTCCAACACATTTCCATTCTCCAAGTTGAGCACTAAATGGTTGAGGCTCGACTCCTGCTTGTGGACTGAAACCATTTTGTGTATTGTCAATTGAAGTAGTTGTGTGGTCCGCGTGAAATTGCACTACTTCGTAGGCTGAGAAACTACCATAGTTTATTCTAATTTGAAAGGTGACACCTGCGAGATCACCACATCGATTATTTCTATGATCATTACCTCGACCATGGTCATCATCTCGACCATTTTGACCGCCTTGACCATTATGACCGTCTTGACCATTTTGACCGCCTTGATCATTATGACCGCCTTGACCATTTTGACCGCCTTGACCATCTGAACCATTGTGAGCACTGATTAGTACTGACATAAACAACATTACTAACACTAATCGCATCATATTTTTCCTTTTTTTCTCGAGGTGAAACGCGATGAATCTAAAACATAATTTTGAACATAAATAGATTTAATCGATTGCTAGCAAACTAGGTGATGAGTAAATCCGAAGTAGACGATCTTCAAATAATAATCATTGTAGAAATATGTGAATCTATATGATTTCTCATTTCGACTTCAATTTTGCCAGAAACAATGCTAAATATTAATCAAAACCGTTGATTTTAAGAGTCTAGATTGTCGGATTTCCTCACGACAATAGACATGAACATAGAATCTCACTATACCTAAAACCCATTACAAATTCTAATGATTCTAAGTCGGCGACACTCTTATTTCTCTATTCGCAGGTGTCTCCTTCATCTTTACTACATATAGAGATGCCGAGTTGTTGTCTCTATAATTTTCTTCATGGTGAGTATGTTAGGTCTCGAGAATTCTCTATTTGTATATATATATGTATGATTCCATACTATCTCGCTTTTTATGGATGACATGGGGAAAGCACACGAGATGAGATGGGACGTATTCGAACTGTTTAGCATTACTCATTTATGTATGTATATGTATATGAATAATACTAATAACACTTCAGCCTCTTATTCCTATCTGAAATCGAATGTCATCTTGTCTAGTATGTCACATTCAAACGAAATGTTTAGTTGTATGAGACATTGCCATGACGAAAACCTTATGATCTCGTTTTCTTCGTACCTCTACTCTCAAATAATTTCGATGAGCAGTGAGAGAACATTAAAAAAATATTTTGAAAATAAAATATTGTTCCATTAAATTTATTCGCTTTAAAGTCTTTATCAAAAGCACATTCTCCGTCGAAAATTCACTGAAAAGAAATTGCTTCAACAAAAATTCTTGAGCAATCATTCTTGAAACAATATAATATTTACATTAAAGCGGGATCATAACTTCTTTCATAATAAAATAATCCAATATTGAAATGTTCTCATCCTACAGCAGACTTCGAAAACTAGTTTCACAATCCTTGTTACTAAAGTCTAATGAGCAAACTGTTTTAAGAATAGCTAGTCTCTACTATTCATTAGATAAAGAATTAGCGAAAGCTTTTTCTGCAAAAAAAAGTTATGATGATACAATCAAACAAGAAAAATAAGAATATATTGCCTTCTGGATATCTTGCAGTGTAGAGTATTGCTCGAGAACAGTTTTGACAGTCCAATATTTTCCTATGTCTATTACTAAATGTAGATTTGATCAGAAGATAAGTCTGACTCATAGTTCTCTTGTTTGATCACTTAAGCTCCCCATGTATATGCTCATTAACCAGATATTAACCACGCGTAGCCAGTTTGTTATTGGATGGACGATCCGAGAGAAAATAGCCCTTAGTGACTTGTCGAACGTCAAATCCCACTGATGGAGCCGAGGTTCAAGCACAGTATCTTGGAAGTATGTGCCGAACATGTTAAGCATTCAGTCATACCGATAATGATTAAAACATAATCGAATATTAGTAGTATTATTTAAAGAAAAAAATTCTACTTAGCACTGAAAATTATACAAGATAACGAAAGAGACTCGACTTTCAAAAGGCATATACTTAATTGTGGTATAATTTTAAAAGCTTACTTACCAAGGATGAGAATAACAATACGGTTGATTGATGTTGTTTGTGTGTAATACTGAAGCATTATATTGCATTGATATATATCGCAAAATAAGCTTGGCTTATGTGCATTCATCCATATACATACAATAAGTGAGAATAGTGATTACAAAAGTATACCTTCAATTTTTTCCAACGAATACTTACCGTGGCTGTATTTTTTTTCCAACAAATATTAACGACGGTTTACCTTTCTTTGCGCGTATGATGGAGAACAGGCAAAACGACAGGTATACGAAGACAAAAACAAATACGCTTGGATATGCACACAATACGATGTAATTAATGTATTTTTTCTTATCTACACAAACCACAGCTAACACATACATGCCTTACTATCAACGACTTGCCGTTACGAAGCATAAACCTGCCGAAACAGTAGATCCAGTATGCCATTTACAAGTGAGTATGAATAGTCTTTCTCATCATTATTCTATATTAGCGAGAGCCCGTGCATACTGCATGGATGCTTTTTTTTCCTGTGAAGTTTCACTCCTGTCCTTTAGCCTTGATTTGGAAATAGACAAAAACCCAGTTCGCATTATATATATAGAGATTGTACAGCCTGATACCCTTGTAGACTCATACTCTTGTTGTAGTACTTCTTATAGCCTTATTCCGTTATTTCCTTATCCTTTATATCCTTTCCAGCCTTATCCATTTATACCATATACCCTTATACTCTTTTAAATTTATCCCTTATGCCCATGTAGCCTTAGTTTCTTATCCCCTTTACTCTTATATCCTTATCTCCTGATCCCCTACTCCCTTATAGCCCTTATAGCCCTTGTGGACCTATGGGTACCACAATACAATAGCCCTTGAGGACCTGTGGCTTCCTCATTATAATAGTCCGGGAGGACCTATGTGTACCCTCATAGAATAGCCCTCGAGCATCTATCGGTACTTCCATAGGACAGCCCTTGAGGACCCAGACGTACCCTCCATAGGATAGTTCCTGCGGACCCAAAGGTA